TCGGCCAGAGGAGTTGACCCTCATCACCCTCCGATCACCAATCACCGGATCGGCCCCTTGACCAGGCCTGAGGCCTCCGGCAGAGGTGTCAGGCCTGGGCAGGGGACCCCCAGCTCCCCGCGGCTGCAGGCTCCGCCCCTGCCCAGGCCTAACGCCTCTGGCCTAGGCGTCCGGCCCGGGCAGCGGGGACCCGCAGCTGCAGCGGCCCCGCGATCGTGGGCTTCGCTTTAGGCCCAGGCAAGGGACCCCTAGCTCCTGGGACTGCCAGCTTCGACCGTGCCCAGCTCCCATCGCTGGCTCCACCCCTACTTCCTGCTATCACTGGCCAGGGTGGAAAAGGCGCCTGATTCTCCGATCATGGCTGGGGGGCAGGGCAAAGGCGGCCCTGGGGCAGCCTTTGCCCTGCCCCCCAGCTCTTAGCTCCTCCCTGGGTTTCCGATCACTGTCAGTGGCAGGGGGCTTCTTCCTGCTTTCCCTTTCGCCTCCCTGCATTGTGCCTACATATGCAAATTAGCCGCCATCTTGTTGGCAGTTAACTGCCAATCTTAGTTGGCAGTTAACTGCCAATCTTAGTTGGCAGTTAACTGCCAATCTTAGTTGGCAGTTAATTTGCATATAGCCCTGATTAGCCAATGAAAAGGGTAGCGTCGTACGCCAATTACCATTTTTCTCTTTTATTAGTGTAGATACATGGTTTGATCATACTGTATGAATATTCTTGTATCCTGCTTTTTCAGTAAACAACATTATGAGATGTGCTTGAGACCCTGCTGTATAGTTAAGAGAATATCAAACTCAACACCAAACAATATGTGCATGTCATAAGAATTCTGGTCTCCACTCAATTTCCAAGTTCCTTTCATTCATTTAATAGGTGTTTATACTGTAGGTGCCTATTTTGTGCCACATGCAGTGCTGGGGGATGAAAATACAAAGAAGTAAGCAAGCACATGCTTGTCCTCAAAGAATTCTCAGCTCAGCAATTACTCTCTGCCTTCTCAGAAATTTGGCTTACCTATGTGAATTTGAAGGTAATAAAAAAAATGCCTACAAGTTGGCTATTTTTAACTTCATTCTTTTGAGGAAAATTACTATATACAAAGATTTATCTTAAACAACAACTGAAGTTTTTCACATTTTATCTAGTTATATTCTCATCTTACAGGTGAAAGAGCTATAATTCTTTTGCTCATTTTGTGACATGTATTTTTCAACATGTATTGCAATTATGTACTAATCCATTGGTCTTGAGATCAATGTGTTTCAGAAACCAATATAAGAGCTTTCATTTCTTCAAGATGTAAATTTTTAGATTATTCATACATCCCCATCCTACATATTTCCATGATATATTTGTTTATGTGCTGGCAGAAAATCATAGTCTACCAATTTAGATAGCAAATGTAAAGCAAATGCTTCAGTAAGCACAGGTGCTTACATCCAAATGTATAATGACCCACATGCACCTGGAACTATTTGCATATATGCACAAGCATTAGCAGTTGTAACTGACTTTATTTGGAAAAATTTAAGCATGCCTAGTAATTTCCTTTGTTATCTTCCAATTTAAGTCTCGTTGCCTAAATGGTGTCTCAAGATATGAAATAAGAGATAAAACAAGGTATTGAGCCATAATTTCAAACCTTATGAAATACACCTCAAGTGGTAATGAGTGGGAGCACTGAGCAGTGAAGGAGCCGCACACAATAGTCAGAAAATCTGTTCTCTATTTGAGGCTCCACCACTTACTACTGACTGAGTTTTTGCAAGCTGTTATTAATGTGTTTTCATATCAATAAAATAGGGATGTTGACATTCTTGCCATACTTATAGCATTAGTGCATTACTATTACAAAGCAAATCTTTGTAAACATGCAAAACACTACATGAGTGTTAGAAATTGGGTTTATAGCTATTTCCTAAAAATCTCAGTATAATTTTTATTTTTTGAAAGGCTCTGTTCCCTTACATTTACTTCTAAGTTGTCACAAAGGTTTTACATAAGAAAGGTGTGTTTTTTAGAGACAGCACCTGTAGTTTATCAAAAGGGGTGCTGCAGTTAGCAAGGAGCTACTGTATGAAGACTCCAGAGACATGTTTAAGAAAGAGAAAAAGAGAACTGGGGTAGCAAAACAAACTGGTAACTTGAATTCCTCTTATTTTCAGTCTGGGTTTAATGTGGAGACTTGCCCACTATTCTGTGTCTTTCGGCACTGAGAACTTAAAACTGTTAGGATGTAGGTCCTTTAGAAGCAGTCCAACAGTTAAGATTTCAAACTCTTTTTAGAGCCTTAGGCATGAAAGAGTCACTAATGGTTTTAACCACTGGAGACTGAAGTTGTTTTGTTTGTCAATGTTTTTCTGTTAATGAAGATTACCTAGCTAGGTCCCTAATGATATTTGTTTATATCAGAACTCCCAGGAAGCAGAAATCTGCACACTAGAACTAAAAATAACACCAGTACAGTCATTACCATCTCCAATGATCTAAAAGGCAGTAAACACAATACTTTGAAAACGTTAGGTTTTGCTACTATCATATAGGAAATAAACATGTTTTATTAATAACTGTGTGGGAAGTTTTTTTCCCCTCAACTGAAACTTATATGAAGTAAGGGGATCTCTGTCTTAATGTATTTACTTTTATTTTTAATCCTCACCCGAGGATATTTTTCCATTGATTTTTAGAGAGAATGGAAGGGAGTGAGGAGGGTGGAGAGAGAGAGAAACATCAATGTGTGAGAGACACATCGACTGGCTGCCTCCCTTATTTGCCCTGACCTGGGCTGATATTGAGCCTGCAACCAAGGTATGTGCCCTTGACTGGGAATCAAACCCAATACCCTTAAGTCCATGGTCTAACGCTCCAACCACTGAGCCAAACCAGCTAGGGCATATTTACTTTGGTCAGTAAAAGCACCACCAAAAATTCTACCACCAGATTCCCAAGGGACCATAAATCTAGATGTATTATGGATTCTCCCAACTCAATTAATTGAATAGCACTTGTCTTCCTAATCTGAATACCTATTATGAGTATGTCTTGTTAACAACATGCTTCTTTTCTTTCACTTAACCCTCTCTCTGATTAGCACATAATGGTCTGTCTCTCACACAGCCTCCTCTCTATCATATCATAGTATTCCATTATGTAGATATACCCTAGTTTCTTTAAATATTCCCTAATTGCTGGACACTTGGTTGTTTCCAATCTTTTACTACCATGTACAATGCTTCAATGAATAACTTTGTTTACCTGAGTTCAACCTATCCACAAAACAGATTTCTAAAAGTGGCACTGTCTGGTCAAAGGGCAAACTGCATCTGTAATTTTGGTAGATACTGCCAGTTTCTGTTCCACAGGATTTGTGCCATTTTGTATTCCCACCAAATGTGCAAGTACTTGTTTCCTGAAGACTATCTGTAAAAATACACATGCCTGGATTCCACGCCTCAAATTCTGACTCAGTAGATAGAGGGTCAGCCCTGAGCAGGCTATCATCAAAAAGTTCCCCAAATAGCACATTCCTGGTTGAGAACCCCAGTTCTAAAAGGAATTCTCTTCTTATTTTCACTGTTCAGATCCATAAGAAAATCAGAGTTCAATCTTTAACTTTCAAAGTTTATATTCCATATCACCCCTTCAATCATAATTTTTGAGTGCCTACTATGTGCTGGACACTCTAGGTGACAAGGACATAAGGGTAAAAATAATATCTGTCTTCAGGGTCTAATAATGATACATATTTGAGACAATGTATAAGCATAGTGTTAGAGATTTACATAGAGTTTTACTGAAAAGGGATACTTCACCTTAACAGGAATGCCAGAGGAGGCTTCCTGAAGGATGTGCCCTGGAACTCAATTGGATTAACCAGGTAGAAAACAACATATTCTAAGGTAGAAAATAAGAAATAGAAAGGGTGGTATGTAACTGGAAATATTTCATATTGCTAGAGCATAAAATATAAGGGAGAGAAGTAAGCTGCAAAAGTAGGCAGAGATCAGGTCACTAAGCATCTAGGATGTCATGTTTAGAAGCTTGAACTTTTATAGGCAAAAAAAGTCACTCAAGGGTTTTAAAGGCTGGGAGTAACATGATCAGATTGTTGTTCTAGATTTATGGACAATGGACTGGAAGGGCACATAACTGGAAAAAGAGAGAGCAGGAAACTGGTGCGGTAATCCAGATGAAAGCTGGAATTAGGGCAGGGGTTAAAGGAGAGAATGGACTAAAGAAATCATAAGAGGTAAAATGAGCAGGACATAGACATTAGATTTTGGAGGTGGAGGTGAACAGAAGTTTGATTACAAGGTATTATCAAACCACTACCAAGAATAGCAAGAGATTTAAGCTATTTTTCCAGTAGCAGTGATAGGTTTGCACTGATTCAGTCATGCTCTCTTATCTGTCCTTCGCATGTAATAGAGCAAGGATAGATGTACGCAGACCAGCAAAACACACAGAATGGTGCATCATGCTCTAATCAACTAAGTAAAGCAAGCATAGGCAACCCAACAGGTAAACACACATTACATGGTCATATCTCTGATGCACCTTCACTTATAATTCCTCTATTGGCGAGTCTCTTGATTCCACTTTCATCTATGCCCCTGAAGTGACTTAGACAATTGCTGCAACATAAATAAATGTCAGACAGGGAACAATATGTGGCTAAGGGGCAGCAGTATGAACAGCTGTTTCCCCAAAGCTAAATGCAAAACATTTTGGGCAGCCTGCTGTCCTGCCGTTAAACGAACCCTTCCCATTGCTCTAACTTATCCAAGTACTAGTATAATGGTCCTGTGAGGATGGAGCAGGAATGAGTTGCATGTACTAAACCTGGAACTTGCTTTCTTCTCAGAGTTCCTAAAAAACAAACTGGAGGGAAACTGAAAACTAAATAACCATCAGATGAAAACAAGTCCACTGTTTAGAAAGTTCATGAATGAAACACACACACACACACACACACACACACACACACACTAAGGCTTACCTTTCTTTTATCTTCATCTGTTGGTTCAAATTTGAAAGTAGCCCTATGCTGAGGGAGGGAAAAAAAGGAAAACAATGTCATTTAAATACAGATATTTTTAATTTTGGCTATGTTTAAAAATATATAATGTCTCTGTAAAAATACTGCCTTCCCCATATCATATCTAATTTTCTTATTAAAGTAAGAGAGATCGGCATGTAAGAAAATAATCTTAAGAAGTATAAAAGGACTACAGCAGAAATATATACCAAGGAGCACAGAGTGTCAAGCCTCTAACTCTGCCCAGGGAAATCTGGAATGCTCTGCATGCAGTATAGAGAATTTGAACTGGACCTTGGGATATGAATAGAAGTTTGCCAGGAGGAAATGGAAAGCATTGCAGGAATAGAAACAAAGGCTCAGATGTGAGAAACGATATGATATATTTGTGAAATAAGCAGCTCTGTCAGAGTGAAAGCACAAATGTTAGGGGGTGGGAGGAGTAAAGAAAGATGAGAATGGAAAAGTAGAATGGATAGAGATTTGGAAGGTCCTTCCAATGCTGCTGAGGAGTTTGTACTTTTTTTGTCATATGTAATAAGAAATCATCAGATAATTATCAATAGAAAAGAGACTATTCAGACAAATATTCTGTAACAATGAGGGTTTAATATTGTGGCTCCATCACTTACTAGTTAGTTCAGTAAGTAACAAACTCTCCATAACTGAATTTCTCATGTGAAAAGAGGGGGTACCTAGTTCACAGAGCTGCTATGAGGGTTAAAACAGCTATGGCATATAACTCACCATCTCAATGCCTGGCACATACTAAACAGTAAATATTAGGGTTATATTGATGGTGATGCCAATGATATTGAGGGGAAAAATAACTGAAAGAGAAGAGAGTGTCATGACTCCTAAAATGACTGGCGGGAACACTGTATTTTCCACTCTGTAGCTAAAATAGATGATGGAGTAAGCTGAGTTATCTACTGTCACAGAAAGAGTGATGGTACCCAAAAACTAGAGCACAAAATTCCTCATTCTCCTCTCAAGTTTTAGTCAGAAGAACCAAGTGCTTTTATGAATCCTAAGCTTTCCTTTAAAAAAAAAAAAAAGTCTGCAGTGAACGTCTCTCTGCCTTTCCTTTGTATTCCCTCACTGGCCATACTAACAAACATTTACTGGCAACCCACCAGGAGTTAAGTACACTGAGTACTGAAGATATCATCATTACAGAGGGGTTCTGTATTGACAGCTTTGTAGAAGAAGAAATCTTTGAAATTAAATTTATGAGATGGAGAAGGAATGTTGACAGAGCAGAAGTTCTGAATATAAGAAATGGTCAGAGGGAGGACTCAGAGGTAAAAGAGACTGCTTCTTATATGGTATGCAAACCATACCATAAATTAAAATGAATTATGTCAGGAGGTAGGGGCTGGATTTTAAAATTTACACTTGAACTGTAAGATAGGTAACAGGCATCCAGCAGAAGACTCTGAAAAAAATGTGAACAGTAGAGCATGCTGGAATATTTTGGACAGTAGCTTACAGACCAGATCAAAAGAGAGCAAGACTGAAGACACAAAGCTCTCTGGGAAATGGTCATCAATAATCCAAGCATGATATTGCTGGCAGCAGTATAAACTGACACAAACTTTAAAAGAGAAAGTGATTTGGCAACACATGTTTGAAACCATAAAAATATTCATCCCCTTTGACCCAGAACTTCTACTCCTAAGAATTTACCCTAATGAAATTCATCCAGAATGAGAGAAAAATTATATATGTAAACATATTCACTGCAGTGTTATTATAGAAGAAAAGAGACAGCTTTGAATATCCAATAGCATGAGATTAATTAAACTGCTGTGCATCCACCTGATAGAATATTATATTACAATTTTAAAAAGATGGCTAAAAAGCTCTGAAACAACATGGCAAATTTCGTATGATGGCATTAAGTGGAAACCATCAAATTATAGTTCTGTGTCTATGACGAAAGTATCTACATAAATATATGGATGCATTTGAACAATGCAAATATAAAAGCAGCTGTACGGGGTGATGGAATTTCTGGTGATTTTCTTTACAAAACTCACTTTTGGTATATTATTTTTATAATTAAAAGGGAAATTTTAAAAATAAAAGATGAGCCCTGGCTGGTGTTGCTCAGTTGATTAGAGCATCCTCCCATACACCAAAAGATTGTAGATTTGATTCCCGGTCAGGGCACATACCTAGATTGCAGGTTTGATACCCAATCAGGGCACATACCTAGGTTGCAGGTTCAATCCCCAGTAGGGGACATGTACAGGAGGCCTCCAATTGAGGTTTCTCTCTCACCTCTCTACCTCTACCCACCCCTCCTCCCCCCACCCCCGTCTGTTCTCCTCTCTTAAAAAAAAAAAAAGAGAGAGAGAGAGAAATCAGTAAGTATATTCTCAGGTGAGGATTAAAAATAAAATAAAAAATGAAGGGCCCTAACCGGTTTGGCTCAATAGATAGAGCATCGGTCTGCAGACTGAAGGGTCCCAGGTTCGATTCTGGCCAAGGGCATGTACCTTGGTTGCGGGCACATCCTCAGTGGGAGGTGTGCAGGAGGCAACTAATCGATGTTTCTCTCTCATCGATGTTTCAAACTCTCTATCCTTCTCCCTTCCTTTCTGTAAAATATCAATAAAATATATTAGAAAATAAATTAAAAAATAAAAATAAAAAATAAAAAATGAAGGAATGAACAAGAAGAAAAGGAAGGAAGAAGTTGTAAATCTGAAGACTATAACTTAGGAATTTATAGACATGAAGTTTAGTAAAAACCAACATTAGATAAAAGATAAAGAAGCACCAGAATCAGGCTAGGCTTGTAAACTGAAGCTTAGTAAATATCCAATACAAATGAAAATAAGCTGTACTTAGAAACCAAGAAAGCTTATTCTGTGCCATTATATGTGAATTCCATAAACTATCTGAAATAAATGTACCTAGTTGCCAATATAATGGTTCTTGTAAATATTTTTTAGCATTTATGGTAAGGGGACAAAAAAAGAAATCTTTTGGGGAAAAAACCTATTAAGTTATAAAAATGTATTTTTAACAGTTTCTACATAGAATTAATCTTTTAAGGTAATAATTTAGAATGGTACCAAGGACTAATTTTTCTGTTGCTTTTTAAATGCAAGGCTGATCTTGTCATAAAACTACAACTTTAAAAAAAAAAAAAAAAGGAAGAAAAGCTTTCAAGAACCCTGTCTAAATAGCATGAGGGTTTAATTTAATTAGAAGGTATATTGGTATGTGAGGCAATAAAATTGAATTTTGAATGTGCCAATCTACTCAGAAACTCAGCCTTCTAAGCTTGTTTGGATCCGAAGATATTTAAGGCTAAGTTCTTTTATCCAACTTAGATCATCCCTACCTTATTCAGTACCTCTAACCTTTATTCTCCCTCCTTTGTACAGCTGAAAGGAAGGGAACTACATTTCTGGCTATAAATGCCTTTCTAGAACTACTAGCCACCTCACCTCTACACACTTTATTTCCAGACAAGCAGGAGCAACAAGTCAAATATAAACTAAAGAGTAAAACCATTGTTCAATTTAGAGATCTAGTAAGGTACAACAGCTCAGTGACACACCGTACTCATTAGCAAGTTACTAAACTTTTCTACCAGTCAGAATTTCCTTATTTATGTATAGCACCTTGCACATAGCAGGTGTCCAATAAGTGGCCACTATTGTCATCATTGCATGGCCTATGATGTGCCCAAATACTAAATTACTTATGGCAAGGGAACTACAGTTATTTCATAGATTTCTAAAGATACACTCCCATGGTACCGATACAAGGAAATTACTCTAACTGGGGTGGGGTGTGTGTGTTGCTGTGTTTCATAAATAGAGAGTACTTCTAGAACTAAATGCCAGTAACTTCGATTATACAACCCATCTGGAAATACGAACAAGGTATAACAAAGGAACAGCCCACTAAAATGCTCCTCTGTAAATATCTGCGGAATGAACTGAGTCAGAACTCAGCCTCAAGGTGGAAAGCAAGTCTTCTTACATGGTACAGGATATTTATATGCCCTAGTCCCGTGGTCGGCAAACTGCGGCTCGCGAGCCACATCCGGCTCTTTGGCTCCTTGAGTGTGGCTCTTCCTAAGCCTTAGGAGTACCCTAATCAAGTTAATAACAATGTACCTACCTATATAGTTTAAGTTTAAAAAATTTGGCTCTCAAAAGAAATTTCAATCGTTGTACTGTTGATATTTGGCTCTGTTGACTAATGAGTTTGCCGACCACTGCCCTAGTCAAATGTGGAGGCTATATTTCTAGAACTGTCCCAATATTAGGTCCCTATTAATCAGGTTCTTCTAGCACATAAATGAAGACCTCACTGCTATCAGTGTGGTTTTCCTCTCTTATGAGGACTACTCTTGGAGACCTACCTGCCTGAATCTTAAATAACTTTTACCTTTCATTTGGCTATAAACATATCATACTTCGAATGTAGAATCATGTTGGAGCTCTCTATGGGCTAACATTTGCCAGGTATCTTCTATGGCCACCAGACCATCTCTCTGGTTATCATTACTGTTGATGACTCTAGGCCTGTTTCTTCACCTACTAACTGAGCGGGTTGGGTTGGATGCAATTATCTTTGAGACTCCTTCTAGTCTGAATATCCTGTGATTCAAGAACTATGATCCTACTGTGCATCTTGGGGTCCTGGATCACTATTTTTGTTGATAATCATGATGATGGCAACCAATTTCTCTATTAAGTCTTTATCAGAATAGGCCCTAAAGGAGAAGAACGAGATTGGACAGCTTAGGCTAGCTCAATACATATTTCCCATAATAGCTCATTCTGTAACTGGAGTGGAGGTGATGAGGGTTCAACAGTAGCACTGGCACTGGAAAACCTCTCTCTTCTGTTCTCAAAAACACAGAATAGACATGGAAAAGGCAACATGGCCTTGCGAAAAAGAGCCGTGGAAATTAAATCTGAAGACTAGGTCCACCACATCTAGCCATGTGCCCTTGAGCCTGTAGAGCGGGGTGGGGAGCTTTTTTTCTGCCAAGGGCCATTTGAATATTTATAACATCATTCAGGGGCCATACAAAATTATCAACTTAAAAATTAGCCTGCTAATTTGGTCAAACACTTAATTAACTCACCCCTACTGCCTTGACAGGGCCAGACCAAATGATTTTGAGGGCCTTACATGGCCCGCGGGCTGGATATTCCCCATCCCTGCCGTAGATAGTCACTTTGTCTTTCTGAACTTCAATTTCCTATTCTTCCAAAAGGGAATACTTCCATCTCCCTCCTAAGTTTTAATGTAAGAGGTTTATATATGATGACATGTGAAAGTACTTAGGATAACAGGCACTCAATAAATGTTAACAGGTGAATTGAGAAGAGTGGAAAAAGAACAACCACCTTTCCTATTTTTTTAATACTTTTTAAAAAATACTTCCCTATACTGAGTCAACCTGCATTATGCCCTTGAGAAACAGACAAGTATCTTTTTTTTTTTTCTGAGATAAATAGATCTTGCCTCTCCCTATGATAACCAGGGTCAGTGAAAAAAGCAAGAAGGCTTGGAAATTAGAATCTCTGTAACACAGTAGAAATTAGAGCCAGACAGGTAACTGCTGCTCTAAATATGGTACACGGTGTTTTCCTACCCATCAGAAAATGCAAGGGTCAAGGAAAAAGAGAAAGATTGGAGTATACTCCCTAATTTTTCTTATGTCAACTAGGTCAACTCAGTGGCACATATTTAATTCCTACCTTTTTTTGTTAAAAAACTAACAGTTATGGGTTCTTAGAGACAGGCACTACTCTAAGTGCTTTACACATATAACTAATTTAAGCCTGGCAACATGTAGGTACTATTATTATCCCTGTTTGGCAGAAGAATAAACTGAGGCAACAAAAGTTAAGTAACTTGCCCTAGAGCCATGGTCGGCAAACCATGGCTCTCGAGCCACATACGGCTCTTTGGCCCCTTGAGTGTGGCTCTTCCACAAAATACCACGTGCGGGTGTGCACGTACAGTGCGACTGAAACTTCGTGGCCCATGAGCAGAAGTTGGTATTTTGTGGAAGAGCCGGTATTTTGTGGAAGAGCCACACTCAAGGGGCCAAAGAGCCACATGTGGCTCGGAGCCGCAGTTTGCTGAGCTGCAGTTTGCTGACCACTGCCCTAGGGCACAGGGATGATGAACTGAGAATCAAGAGTCTAGGCCAGTGATGGCGAACCTTTTGAGCTCGGCGTGTCAGCATTTTGAAAAACCCTAACTTAACTCTGGTGCCGTGTCACATATAGAAATTTTTTGATATTTGCAACCATAGTAAAACAAAGACTTATATTTTTGATATTTATTTTATATATTTAAATGCCATTTAACAAAGAAAAATCAACCAAAAAAATGAGTTCGCGTGTCACCTCTGACACGCATGTCATAGGTTTGCCATCACTGGTCTAGGCAGTCTGGCTCAAGAGCCTGTGCTTGGGTCATAGGACTTCTTGATACCTTGATCATCAAAACTGTAATACCCCGAGTGAATGCCTCCAGGGGCACTGGGCTCAGTGTTTGGCATTATAGTAGTACTTCATTTAATTTAAGCCTCAAAATAACTTAGGTGATATTTTTCCTATTTTACAGATAAGGACACTGAGACTCAGGTCCTTATTCATAGTTGTGAAGCTAATAATGGCAGATCTAAAACAAGATTTATCTGACTCCAAATTCCACCTTCGTTCAACTATATTTGGCTGCTTCCTTTTGAGGACTGGCTTTATTAGAGAAATAAGATAATAAAGAACATCACCCAAACAATGAACTACATTCTCTCTACATATTATTCATTTCCCTTCTTGGTTAGACTCCTCAACCCCCATAACCACTTCTTATTCTAACCATTTTTAAAATAAATTTTTCCAGATAGGGAAAATGAAGCACAAGGTATCCAGCTTTTTCAGAGTTTCAGGTTCCATATCCCATCCAGCTGGACAATTTAATTCCACCTCCCCATTCTTATTGCCAGACCACAGCAATCATACTTCCCCTTCCTATTCATCTGCCTCAATGTCTTTCGCCTTGAGGGGCAAAGTCCCACTGGCAATGTGAAATTCAGCTATTTTCTCTGCACCTATTTTTCTATTCTTTCTGGCCGCACTATAATCAGCATTAAACATGAGAACTTTTTTCTGAAGGAGCTAACTGACTCAGTTTGGAGCAAGTCAGATTTTCAGGCTTGGCCCAAAAAGTTCAAGCCTCCCAAACACTTTAGGAATATCCCCTTTAAAAAATACATATTCGGCCCTGGCCGGGTGGCTCAGTTGACTGGAGTGTCGTTCCATATGCCAAAAAACGTTGAGGTTTGATTCCAGGCCAGGGCACATACCTAAGTTGTGGATTCGATCCCTGGTCAGGGTATGTACTAGAGGCAACCGATAGATGTTCCTCTCTCTCTCTCCCTTCCTTCCTCTCTCTAAAAAATTAAAAAACATATCCTTGGGTGAGGATTAAAAAAAAACCCCACATATTTAACATTACAACTTTAAAGGCATCCCCAGTGTGAAAGGGGAGCTGGAGATGTCCAGAACTTAAGTTGACAGCACTTGACCAGGAGTGGTAACCAACCTGGAGATCAAGGAGAGGGAGAGGTAAGTTGGAGGAAGCAAATCTGGAGTTCCAATCAGTTTAGACATGAAGGGGAGAAAGAATATGAAAAGCGGTGATAAGGTCCAGTTAGAGAGTTTTCCTCCTCCCTTCCTATGGAAGAAAAGGTTTTCTTTATTGCTAGATATGTGTCATACAGTAAGTGCTAGATAAATACTAACTCATTCAACACAATGGCAAGGTTTCTGTTGTATTTCTTTCTTTTGAAAATCACTTTGCAGTGCTTCAAATCTTTTTTTTGGAGAGCAGTTATAAATCAAGTAAAATGAATATAATCTCCACAATATGTACAACTAGGCATTAAATGAATTCCTCCTAAATGAGGTAAACAGGAAACAGTAAAGTGTATCCAAAAGTGAAGGAGCTAAGCTATGAAGAGAAATGAATCCATGCATCATCTCAAAGAAGTCAGGATAGTCCTGTAGGAACAGTAGTCAGACAACCTAAATTCAAATCTCGGCCCCATCTCTCAATGGCTGTGTGGATTTGGGGCAACTTTATCCTAAATGTTATCATTTTTGAAATGGGAATACCACCACTTTCCTCAAAGTGTTGTTGGGAAGAGTACTCGGGAATGAAGGTGTATTATTTCTGGATCTCCACCCAGAGCAGAAATGGCATACTGGCAGCTCAATAATACAAAGTGCATGAAAGTGCAGTGGTGGGCACATAGCAAACACAGAAGAGGAAATTATGAATGGAAGCAAAAAAAAAAGGAAGAAAGATGTTCTATCTAGGGTGTGACTTGGTGTTGGGTGTGTTTCCACAGAGGGGGTAGTCAGTCCTTTCTTTAAAGTAGTCTTCTTAATGGAAGAATAACGGTGTGGTATGCTACCTTTTGAAGTGAGCATGTAAAATTCCTGGAAGGATAGGCAACGGAAAGCTAACGGTTTCAGGAGAGCGATTCAGAGAAGTGGCTGGGATTTATAACAAGATACCTTTCTACCGCAGAGTTGTACAGTGGAACGAACAATGAATGGTTCGAAGACCAAGGCTGGAGTCCCAGCTCCCAACCATGACCTTGGACAAGTTACTTAACCAATCAAGAATCTCAGTTGCAAAACGCAGATAAAACCTCACAGGACTGCTGTCAAGATTAAATGAGATAAGGGATGGGAAAACTGTTAATGCGATACAAATAACAGGTATTATTAGGAGCTGGATTCTACCTTCACTCACAACATAGCATGTCCATGACCTTGGCATGATTTCAGTTCTTGGCGCCTCGGTTTTCTCATCTATAAAATGGGGAGGATCATACCATCGACCCCATAAACACTCTGAGAATCAAGTCAGACCACATACGAGACATCACACCTTGAAAACGGTACAGGTACATAAAGAACGACTGTCGTGGCCGGTAACGATTTATGCATGTCGGGGTCCGCGGTGAAGCAAATATTTTTATGCTACACAGGTGAGGAAGCCTCGCGTGCATTTATGCATCCAAGAGTGGGGCACAGGGCACAGACGCACAGCCACGGACTCCGGGGGTGTGACCTGCGCGCTCGGGAGGACGGACCGCAGGAGCGGCTGCTGGGCCGGAATCAGAGGAGTGGGCGCCAGAGTGGGGGCAGGGGGGTGAGGATGCACGGCTGGGGGGCACAAACACGCATGTCCACGCCGGAAACATTTTCGGGGGAAAGCGATGCGCATCCCCGGAATGAGGGGGTGGGGAGGGATGCGCGTGCAAGCTCGGGGGGCGGCCGGGGGTGCCACACCGCAAGCCGGGGGCCAGGGCTCTTTACCTTATCGCTGTAATCCCTCAGGACCCGCTCGATAGCCCCCGCCTCGCCGGCCCGGACGATGTACAGGGCGCGCTCCTCATCCATGGCCGCAGGTGCGGGGGAGCCGCGGCCGCTCTGCGCGCCCGAGCCGCTGCCTCCAGGTAAACGCCTCGCGCCCCCGCTCGCTCGCTCCTTCCCAGCTTCCTTCCTTCCCTCCTTCCCTCCCTCCCTCCTGCCTCCAACCCGCCAGCCTCCGCCCGGGCAGGCCCGACGTCACCGCCCCTCAACTTTCACCCCGCGACGTCACCGGTCCCCCAGCAACCAGCGTCCCGCGGCCGCCCCTGACCAGGCCCAGGACTCGACCGAGGCCTGCCGAGCGGCCTGAGGGGGGTCAGGCCCGAGGTCCTGCTGGCTTTTCTGCCTCTCCCTCCCTCGAAGAAGCCAGCCTTTTAAGTGGGCTTTCGCGGACAGCACTGTTCCCACCTGACCCTCCTCTATGAATCATTCTTCTCAGCTGACGAGAACGACCCGGCTCGTCCCCGCCCCTCTCAGAGACAGCAGCTGAGTGGACTACAACTCCCTGCGTGCAATGGGGTCATCCCACGATCCCATCCAATATGCTGGAGTGCCGAACGGCATGCCGGGATGAGTAGTCATCCAGCGGGAAAGGCTTCCCTCCAAAGGCATGCTGGGAACTGTGGTCCTGCGGAGGCCGGAAACAAGAGTCCCACGGGCCCGGAGGCCAGCGGCCAAGAAACCGTTAGGGGGTGGGTCTGAGCGTGGGCCCGGCCTCCTTTTTGTTCCTTACGGAGCTGGCTGTCCTGCCGGAGCCCTGGCTGGTTGGACTGGTTGTCATTCGCGGAAGCTGGCTCCCTTTGGTGGGAACTGTGAAGCACCGGTTTAATTCCCACTTTCCTCGTTTAGTGGCTTCGATCTCTGTCAGATTCTTTCCTTCCTCCCTTGTTTGCGGTCTTGTAATGTATGCAGCTACGGTCGTGTGGGAAATTGCAGGTAGTTATCTAGATAAAGGGGGACCAGCGATTTTTTAATACCGTTTTTAAAATATCATTTTGAATCTTTCAATTACAGTTGACATACAGTATTGTATTAGTTTCAGGAGTACACCCCCGTGATTAGACATTACATAACTTACCAAGTGATCATCCCGATATATCTCGTACCCATCTGACGCCGTACATAGTTGTTAGGATGGTACTGACTGTATTCCCTGTGCTGTACTTGGGGGCCCTCTGGCTATTCTGTAACCAACGATTTGTACTTCTTCATCCCGTCACCTTTTGTCCATCCTCGCAGCCCCCCGCCCGTCTGGCAGCCATCACCACGTGCTCAGAACCTGTGGGTCTGTTTCTGTTCTGCTTGCTTGTTCTAGAGTCAGTCCATTGTTGCTAGATGCGTATTGATTGCCATGCTGTTGGTCATATTTTTTCTTCTTCTTAAGGAGGACCCCTTGACATTTCATGTGATCCTGGTTTGGTGGCGATGAACTCCCTTGGCTTTGTCTTGTCTGGGAAGCTCTATGCAGGCCCACCTCTGCTAAGTGTCTGCTGCCTGCAGGCAGCCTGTTCCTTTAGCGGTGGTGCCACAGCCGATTGGCCACAGGTGCAGCCAGCAAATATTTGCCAACCGGTGCTGTGCTGGGCACTGTTCCCTACGGCCCAGCGCTGTGTGGTGTGGAGACGGTGAACCCCAAATGAGTGCCTGCCCTGGCCGAGCTTCAGTTCTAGTGCTGACCCCCTGAGCAGGGCACCGTTGTCCTGTTCAGATGAGGAAACAGCCTCGGAGGCGCTAACAGATTCATCTACCAACATTGCAGAATTTGGAAACTGAAGTTGTTCTTTTTGTTCTCCCCAGCTATTCGTTAGAGAGTGGGTGACGTTTCCAAGTGATTTCCAGTTTTCCATTCCAAGCAGCCTTTACCAGAAATAGTCTTTCATGCCTCCCCTGCCCACCTCCACCTCTTGAGCTGTGAAGAGAAGAACTAGAGGGGACAAAAATGTATTCATCTAATAACTGTTGAGTTTCTTCCATGGGTCAGATATTGTGCTAGGCTTTGGGGAATTTGGAGAGAAAACCAAATATGGAATCTGAGCTCATGGAGGTTTAGGTCTTTCTGTGGTTTCTACTTTTCATGCAGCAAAAATTTATTGAGCATATTTGTTGAGCCAGGTAGGTGCTGTGTCCATAATAAACTAAACGAGAAAGATTTTAATCTATCTCTTGAAAGAGCACACTGTATAGAAAGGTCATGCTATAGTAAGCTACATCCCCTTAGGTAATAGTAGCATCTTGCAATTGTTTTGAACAGTTTACAAACCATTTGAATATACACTATCTCAGTGAATCCTTGAGGAAGGTATTTTCCCCATTTATAGATAAGAAAACAGGCTCAGATGGGTTAAATAGCACAAACTGGGACTCAGACTGAGAGCTGTAATATAACAGTATTTGGGTGCTTACTCTATGTCCAGTACTGTATCTTGTGCTTTTTGGGTAACCATATATTTATTTTTGGAGCAAGGGCTCCTGGACAGGATACTAACAAGCATAAAGTATCTGAGTAGAGCTGTGTCTTTCAAAGAGAGTCTTACACATGTGTTTGAAATGTCTAACAGAATTAGGCTTGTGTTTTTAGGCAAACCTGTATTTCTAAAAAGAGATTTAAAAATGTGAAACCACATAAATTAACGGTTTGGGGAAATTGCACTTTAGTAATTTTAATTAAGCACTAATATTCAGATTTTATAAATTAAAAGGATCTTTGACTCCAATTCAAGTCATCCTTTGACCACTGACGAGACTCTGGTCCCAGAAAAATTAAGTGACTTGTCCAAAGTCAATAGTTTAAAGCAGACTCTGGGACTAGAGCCTAGACTAGCTGAATCCTGGGTCACTACGTCACTTTACCTCCCTGGATATTTAGTTATGTGATACGTTCAGTGACTAGAGCCTCTAGTCCAACACCAACTCTACTTCCTGTTGATTCTTGGATGGCCTGGTACGAAGGAATTAGAGACTGGGTAATCAAAGCAGCAAATACTTAGTCAGAAAGTCATTGTTCTGAAAGATGGTAATATAATTCTATACATATAACTAGTATATCAATAGTGCTTTACTAGTCTCAAAATATCTCCATGTAGATCATCTGATTTAATCATTATAAGAGCTGAAAAAAATACAAGGTCAATAGGACAGGCACTATCTTTCTTTTTACAGAGAAAAGGGAAGTTCATGGTGTTGATTAGCTTGCTCATAAGCAATAAGTTGGCTAATAAGTGGTATAGTTAAGGGCTAGAAGTGCTCTAGGTTCTGATAGAATAAAATGTTATAGACTTATAGGTCAGGGCCAATGAACAAGCCTGCAAATAGATACTAGTCATTTATTTTGGACTTTGATATATCCTGCTGTGGCACTTCCTCTGCCATGACAATGGGTAAGTTGGAATGTGCCAGATTGAAGGTTTTTAAGGAGTACTTGGTGCCAACAGCTTTTAAAATCCAAATCTTCCACATGCAGTTATTTTTACACCTTTTCTTTAGAAGAAATAGACATTTAAAAACGAAACGACTTGGTCTAGTCACTACAGCTCCAGAAATGGAATTCAGAGAATTCCACCAATTCAAGATAGGACCTGTCACTCAGCCTTTCCTACGCCACAGTGTCCTCAGCTGTAAAAATAAACGAATTGAGTCAGATATTATTTTAGTTCTCTTAGTTCTAACATTTTGTGATCCTAAGAACCACAAAAGTATATTTGAACATGCTAGTTCTTCAGAAAAATCTATTGAGTGAGGTTGTACAAATCAATATGTGCAAATTAAATATCAATATGATATATGCAAATCATTTCCTGGGCATACCTCTAAAGATTCTGATTCAGTTGATCTGTGGTGAGGCCTGGGTACTGGTAGTTTTAAAAGCCTCTCTGTTGATCTGAGTGAGCAGCCAGGATTGAGAACCAGTGGACCAATATTTTGATAGAGTATCAAGCACTGAACCAGTTTTTTGATAGACTACCAAAGTCAGGTGCATGTGACTCATTAGTTAGTCTTTGAGAAATGAGAATGACCCAGCAAGATGAAAATTATTTTAAATTCATTTTCTACCTAGAATGAAGTCTCCTTTTTATAACAAAGTTAATTATCGTGGTTTGATCCTTTAACAAATACAGGTTGGGCAAAAGTTCATTTATAGTTGCGAGTACAGGAAACACAGACTCTGTTCTTATATTATTGTATCATTTTTTATACAAACAATTGTAAACCTACTTTTGCCCCACCATATATGTGGTGATCATTGGAGCACAGAATTATCTAAAGCACCCTTAAAAAAAGAAGTGGAAACAATTGACCCCGTTCTTTGGGGCTATAAGAAATATCCAAGCAATCAGCGGAGTCTTTTCTAATTGAACTTGCCTTATGCAAATCAAAGCGAGAAAAACATTGATGAGAAGAAGAGTAATCAGAGAAGCCTTCTTAGAGAAGTGGAGAGAACTTTAGAGGGCTTAGCAAATAGGGGGAAATGCCATGAGAAAAATTCAGGAGGCCAAAATTAACCAGACGCTTATTGAGAAATGATACCAACTTGGTTGAATTTGAAAGTAAGCAATGGAGATTTCCTAAGAGGTCAATTGGTCAGTAGAATAAGGAAAAGTTAAATCTGAGAGACATTTCATAATCAGTGATGACTCTAAGACCAGCCAATCCAACCTCAACATGTTACATTCCTGAAAACACTATCTCACAATGCCACGTGACAAAGTTAAATGGGAAGCAGCCGAGGGTCTGTTGCCAAAGGGTGTCAGATCCTTGTGCACACTATTTTAATTTCTTGGGATCTTATTTATAAAATTAGAATTGGATTAAATCATTTCAGAGTTTTTAAAAAAATTAAAAATTGATGACTAATCGATCCAGCCTTTCAGCACCTTTCTGAGGTTCCGCAGTCATATTTCCAGTATTCTAACTGCTAAGATTGAGTCCATGCTGTTAGCCCTTGGCAACTGTACCTACGGTTGTTCAATATTGATTGACTATCCACAGTGGGACTCTCAAACTAAGCACACAGAATGGGCACTGCCCGCTAGGAGATTTTATTTATCCAAGAGCTGGAATGTGGGTCAGACCTATTTGCATCTTGCTGGCTTGGAATCCCATCCAAACACCTCTCGGGAAAAACCAGCGCTTTGGGTGGCGGTGCTGTAATGTGGTGAAAGAACCTGGGCTGGGAATTGGAAAACCTGGTTTTTAGTTGTGACTCACTGTGTATCTCAGAAGCCAATCATTTGTCAAATTTCTTAAAACCCCTCTGGCAACCAGTTTGTTTTTTTTAAATCTAACAGGAATACTTGCAAGCCAAAAGATTCTCGTTTACATTTTAACTCTGTCCCTGGGTGTTCAGGAATAAGTCACTTGCCCTCTTTGAGCATTGATGATTTTCAACTGTAATGAGCATAATAATACCTTCTTTGCAGGATGCTGTAAGGCGGGAAAGAGATGGCTGTCACCGTGGCCAGCACAGCAGACCTGGGA